CCAGCCATATGGTTCCCGTAGTTTTGATAGCTGACACCCTTTAGTGCAGTGTCCCTACTGCTGCATATGAGCAAAGGTCACTCTTCAATCCCATCTAATGACGAGAGTTGCAGACAGCTGCCTGCCCCATCAAGGTCTTATCGGGATTTTAGAAGCACTAGGCTTGTCTGGTGTTTGCCATAAACCCTGCTTAATATGCCCAAGCAATTAAAACTCACCAATAAAAACCACATCTGGAAAATTAAAATGACAAGTGGAATGGGGACCATTCCTCCTTGTCAAATTCCAGTTTGACATTAAATTAAATTAAATTGGAGCCTTTGGTACTTGGACAGGAACCCCTCACCCCAAATAATTACTCTCCAGTAGCACTTTCTTTAATTTGGAAGCGATATCACTACGCTAGGAATGACTGGGAAGACCCAGTCCATGAAGATGAAGCTACAGCTTGTTTGGGTTTTGTCCTTCCTGCTCCTGGCAAGGCACATGCCATAGCTTGTCCATAATCCGTCATTGCAGTAATCACACTGCAAACACCAGAGCCACCGAGAATGATGACCCAGCTTGCAAGGCAGAGCTGCTGCAAGGCTCTGGAATCAGACAGGAGATTATGAGGACGCTGGCCACTCCTTCCATAGTCCCTTCCCTCCCTAAAGTCGGGACTGCTGACACAGGGAAAGTTCCCTGCAGAAGGAGAAGCCATCTGAGGGAAAGCCCATGCAAAAACATGGAGGTGTGAACTGACAGGCACGCCCTCCTTCACGCGTTACTTCCTTCATTAGCTTGACTAATACTGACAAGCGGGATGGCGCTCTGTGCCAGGCACCCAGCTTGGTGCTCAGAAGAAAAGAGTGAGTGAAACACGGCCCCTGCCCTGTCCAAAGAATGTAGGTGGAGAAAAAAAATCCAGAAAACCATTTTACATCGTGCTAAGCCCTTGAACCCAATGGCCTGGCCATGTGTACACCTGGGCTCTGAGAGCAAATGGCAAGGGAGGGGAAGGGGACTCCCTCAGCCTCAGGAGGAGAGGAAGTAGGGCCAGGCAATTGGAAACAACAAGCCATGGTGGGCAAGAGAGTGAGAGGGAGGATCCAGGGCAGCTCTGGCTCTAGGTGGCAGACCAGAAACTGAAGTCCCAAATGCAGGGAGTGCGCAGTGGGCCTCAGGGAGCTGGTGATGGGGTCAGTTTTGGGGACAGTGAGTTTGAAATGCTTGACAGACATACCATCAAAAGAGGTCAGATTTTCTTGAGCAACAGACCACACCTAACTCAATTCTAGGCGTTTGTGCTGAGGATACAGAGGTGCTCCTAAAATGATGGATGAAAAAAAATGAGTGCTGTGTACAAGAAACACTTGTGCATATTCCTCTCCTACGAGGCATCATTAATTCTCACAGTTGCTGTATGAGGAAGGGCTTTTATTAACCACTTGATAAAAAGCCACAATCTTTCAAAAGTCTTAGGGTATAAGAGTGGAGGTAGAAACATTTTACCACAGGTAAAAAAGACTCAAAAGAAAAAAAAGTCAAGCATGGTGGTGCACACCTGTAAACCCAGCTACCCAAGAGGTAGAAGTAAGAAGATCATGGTCCAAGACCAGCCAAAGCAGAAGTGTGAGATCATATCTATAAAGCAAACTAAAGCAAAAAGGGCTGGTGATGTCTGTAGTAGAGTGCTTGCAAGGGTGATGTCCTGGGTTCAAAACCCAGTACTGCAAAAGAAAAAACAAAACAAAACAAAACAAAGGACAGATAACACGAAAAGGTACCCAACATCATTAATCATCAGGGAAATGCAAATTAAAACCACAAGAAGACACTGGTGGAATTGCTATAAATCCACTAGAATTGTTTGAATCCAAAGGACCACATGCTGGTGAGGATGTGGGTGAACAGAGTCCCCACACAGTGCTGGTGGGATGTACAATGGCGTACCCACTCTGAGGACAGTTTGGCATTTCCTTATAAATATACACTTCCCATCTGGCTGGCAATTCCACTCCCAGATTTCTACCCAAGAGAAGTCAAAATACATTCATGCCAAACCCAGACATAAATTTTCATAATAGTCCAAAGTTGAATGCAACACAAATCTCCATCGACCAGCGGGTGGTGAAACACAGTATGACATGCTCACACAACACAGTGTCACTCAGCAATAAGAAGGAACCAGGCATTGACGCATCCAAAGCATGGCTGAACCTCAAAACAGATGAAAGGGAGAGGCCAGGCACACAGGCCTCCTATTTTCTGATGCACCTTTACTGCAGTTCCAGGAAAGGCGAGTCCACAGAGATGGAAAGCAGTCCTGTGTCACTCGGGGTGGGACAGGGATGACAGTGACTGCCAGTAACTCCTGCTCTGAGCTGAATTATGGCAATGGCCACATATCCATGCAACTTTACCGACGCTCACCAAATGAACACTTTTAATGCTTAAGTTTTGAGCATGTGAATTATATTTCAACGAAGCTGTTATTTTAAAAAGGCTGCTGTCTGGCTCAGAAGAGAGGAAGTTCCTGCCCCAGCAGTGCCCTAAGGACACATCAGTATTGCACCTTGTAGTGCAATACCGCAACCTATTGATGTCAATAGGTTGAAAAGGCCCACAAAGGAATCCTAGGCAAAGGAAGGAACAGAGGCTGTCATGAAAGTGGGAGCATGCCTGGCATGCTTGGATATCCATTTTTTTGGGCTGGATATTTGGACATAAAAAATGGAGATCAAAGGCTATAAAATTGATTGTGACCAGACCAGACCCAAGAAGCTGAAAATGATCAGGTTGATCAATGTGTTCATGACTTGATTTGGTAGGCAGTGGGGAGCCACTGGACATTCCCAAGTAGGGAAGTGCCCTTGCAAAGCTCAACGGGGCGGCCATGAGGAGTAGGTGTGGAAAGGCCAACAGGGCCGAGTGTCAAAGCAAAGACTCAAGGGACTGGGTGTACTTAGTGCATAAGGCCCAAACGCCTGCCTGTGTCAATAATGCAAAGAGAAAAGACTCACCGTACCAGGGAGAAAGAAATCAGTCATGGACATCTTACTTAGCGCCCCATGCACCCTGGGGCCTGGTTTAAAGCATTGCTGCTATAGAGGAGGACCAGGACTTACGAGCCTGCTATCTACAGAATGAGCCAAATGGATTGATGCCCGTCTTTAGGCTTGCACCAAAGAAAAGGAATAAAGATTAGACGGGCCGTAAAATGCTTATCTAGGAGTGTGCTGGGAACCACGGCTGGAAAGCTCATTACCGAATAAGATACGGTGGTATTTCTGAGGCTGGAGGAGAGAAAGTGAGACAAATGACAGGGACCAGGCATAGGCTTCCTGGCCCAGAAAGGCGCCAGTGCCAGACACTGCTGGCCTCTGTGAATGGCACTGCTGATTTTTCATTTTCATTTATTTATTATTTTTGTGGGGCTGGGACTAGAATCAGGACCTCGCATATATGAAGCGAGAGCTCTACCACTGAGCTACACTCCCTGGCCTGAATTGTTTCTTTAACTGTGCATAACGCACAGTAAGTGAACTGGCACAGGCAGGAGCAGACAGGACGGGTCCGAAGGAGAAGTCTGCTGCACCTCCCCTGCTACAGAGTGCAACCCGTCCCCAACTACTGCTGCAGAAAGTCCCCTGAGTCCTGTACCCACAAAGCAGGGCTTAGCATATCGTCATTCCACACTCCCAAACCTGCTTAGCCCACACCAGTGTAAGGCAGGGGTGCCAGCCTGCCTTCTGGAAGCTGGTCCAAATGTTCCAGGATTGTACCCTGTGCCAACTCTCAACTATCCGGAAATCCCACAGCAAGAGTGGGGATTTTAGCTTCTCTTGAGAAACTGGGAGTTCCATCAGCATGGCACCCAGGACTGGAGCTGTACTTGTCCTCTGTGAGCATTAGGGTCTCTGCCTGGTGCACTTCACTTATACATTCCTGCCCTCATTCAGCAAGTATTTATTAAGTCCCTACTGTATGCCATGAGCTGTGGTGGGATATAAAGACATAGTAAAGAATAAAGCTGATAACACTTACTTTCCTGGAGTTCCTATCCTCATATGACAAGCAAGACGATCACAATGAAAGTGATGCATGGTTTAGGTGAGAAGCTCTAAGAGAAACCAGGAAGCCAGGTGCAGCGTGTGGAAGAGGGGAGAGGCGCTGGGTATGGTAGACAGGGGACAGAGCCATTCTGATTCTGCAGCCAAATGGTGAAAGTGAGAGAATGGCCCTCGACTGCCAAGGGACATCCGGAAGATCACATTTGATGTGTGGCAGGAGCACTAAAGGGACAAGCGAGGGAAAGAGGGTCTCTGAGGTCTGCCTAGGGCTTGCATTTTATTCTGAGTGATGCAGAGACTGCTGATGGGTTTGAGCAGAGAAGCCATGAGGCTGAGTCACATATGTTGGTGACTGGTGCCTGTTTGTTGGTGGCATCTCTATGTTTGATCCTTGTTTTTAAAACAAGATGGGCAGAGGTTAAAGGGTTAGAGATGGGCTCTGTGTCTGGGGAGGGAAAATAGAGTATGGGGAGAAATCTTCTGATCTTCAGAAAAGTGTGTGTGTAGAAGAGTAACCCCAAACTTAGCAGTGACCTTGAATTACCTGTTATTTACAGGAAGACTTCAGACACAATGAAGCCACTTAGAAAACCAAGCGCACTGAACCCCGATCCTGGTTACCACTTGACCCTCAGCCAGAAGAAAATGCATCTGGAGCATTCGACCTTGTTCACTTACAAAAAGCTCTTCCTCTCCCTTTGGTGTCTTTACCAGTGGCATTCTACCCCTCTGATACACTCAACTTCTTAGACAAGTCCTAAGTATTGTATTTAGGCATCCTGAGTTATGACCTATGTTGTGACAACCCAGACAGGAATACGATCCTTTACTCTAACACAAAGCAGTGATTGGCGCTGACGTTCAGCATGTTGAGGTCTTACAGAACATCTGTTCCAAGACCCTGAAGAGCTGGAGACATTTTACAAGAAAAAGGGGTTTACTTACAGTCAGAATGTGGTCCCGTCCCATAGTGATGACCATCCGGTTCACTGTGCGGAGCAGCTGGACCATGATCTCTTGGATGTGGTGGTAGGTGAAGGCCTGTAACACAGTAAGAGACATCTCTATGACAACCAGGACACTATGGCAGCGCCATCTTCCAAAGACACAGACAACAGTGGTCAGATATGGGAATCACCAACACCATTGCCACCATCACTACCAAGGTCATGACTCCATCCTGGCCAACACTTTGCATTGCACACCAGTCACCTTGAACATAAGTTAGTGATGAAGAGCTCACCTAGGCTTTGGAATTGGGAACTTGGAGGTTTTAAAATCCTAGTTCTGACAAGGATTTGTTGTATATTACCTAACTTCTCTCAACCTTGGTTTCTTCACCTGGTAGAAGCTATCATGGAATAAGGAACCTCGTGCAAGGACTTGGTTAAAATAGGTGACAGAGAAGCTGAGACACCCACATCAGAAAGCCACTACTGCCCCCAGGCTAAAGGGACAGATAGAGGAGGAAGGGTTCCAGAGCCCAGGGAGGGGGGTGCAGCAATGGGAACTGGCTATCGGGGTGCCTATGAAGCAGCACTGCCCACGCTGAGCGGACATCCACAGTGAGTCAGGTTGTAACACTGTAGGGTATTGAAAGTGGGTAAGCCCTCTTTAAATACAGGTCTCAGAATTTTCTGTGCCTTTGGGTAAACAAGAGTTTCAGGCATGTTAACGCACATCCTCAGACCATGTTACCTATGTTGTCCTTAAACACAGTGTCATTCACATATCTTGGTGAGAGTGGCCACAACGAAGGAGAAAGGCCCTGAGGTTTAGGTTCAGAAGGTCTGGGTCTGAATTCCAGTGTTAAGCTTGCCAACTGTGGAATCTCACTTAGCCCTGGATCTTCTGGGCTTTGTCTCCCTCATCAACAAAACTTGGGACGTTCTCTTGAGGTTGATGTGAGCACAAAAGTGACACGCACAATTGTGGAAAAAACACACACTCAGTTCTCTTGCAGGAGTCTCTGTAAGTCACAGTAGAGCTTGACTGTCAGCCATCTCTGAATTTTATCTTTATCCTTCTGGTGGCTGAGAATCCTGACACAAGCCACCATGATGCCCTGGAGATGGTGACTGAGGCCTGGAGAAGCCTATAGGTCTCCAGGTCCTAGTCAGAGACTGGCATAAAGAAGGTGCTAAGTGGGTGACCGCCCACACTCATTCACAGGCCTGTTATGAACCTTGCTGCATTCAACCCAACAGCAGTTTAGTTTCTTACTGGAAGCAATGAAAGGAGATAGGTTCAAAGATGGAGGGCACACAGAGAAAGACGTGCTCATTAAAAATGTCCTCCCCTCCCGGCATGCTGCAGTGACTACTGGCACCCTGAGAGGAATCACCAGGCACTCACTTTCTCTTCTGCCTCACACTTGTCCCTTTGGAGCTCTGGCTAATCCCCAGCCCTCCAGCCCCGTGCAGCCACCAGCCAGGGCTCTGCCACCTGAGCATCTCATGCAGCATGTGTTTTTCAAAACCGGGACTTCTGCTGCATCAGGTCTAGCCAGACCTCAGTCTTTTTCTGGACCTGAGCTCTTTCCCCTATGACATTTGGGGCTGGGAAGGACAGCATATCCCTGTAATTCTTGGCTGAAGGCAAACCTCTCCTGACTTCCTTATTTCTGCAAGCCCTTTTGCTGACCACTTACTCTTACGTTACGCAAATATGGAATCCACATTTATAGCACCAATAGCTAACATTTGCGAAGACTTCATCAGTGCCGACTAAGCACTTTAGCAGTTTTCGTATCAAGATAAGCAAGACGTGATCTATATAACTCAGATGTGAAAACAAAAACCCAGAGAGGTTAATTGATCTGCCTGGGTCACCCAGCGAAGTCAAGGAAGAAGGTGTGCATCCACAGTTTGGCTCCGGATCTATTCTTTCCCCAACTCACCCAGACATGCAGGAATCCCATCACACATCTCTGGCTGCAACTTGGGCTTCATTCATCTCCTTCCATCTGCCAAGATAGACAGAGGCTTTCTTCCATTGGGACAACTTCTAACTCACTCAGTGACTTCTGGTGTTTTCTTTTGCAAAAAATCTTTGGCGCTACCTTTTGTTCGTTCCTTCACAATTTCCTCAAATTTACATGGCTTCCATTTGATGCCATTTTCCCCCCAGGATCACATCTCTTCGCTTAACAAAAGAGATGTGGACATATTCATTCCTCTTGGCTTCTGCCCCTTGTTCTTTAAAATAGCCATTTCTTCTTTGTCCAAAGAGCAGCAATTAGACAGCTAGGGAAGACTGGTATTTAACTGTCAAATTTGATTCATTTCATTCTACAAACTCACAAGATGGAGGGATGTCTAGCTGAATGTTTTGAGATCAAACTTTGAGTTGGACTCTCAGCTCTCTTAATGTGAGCTGGGTGACCTTGAGCAAACCACTCTTCCTGAGTTTCAGCTTCTGCATTTATAAAAGGTGGGAAATAGAAACCTTGAGGCTACTGGCTTGAGAACCAAGTCAGGACATGTGGTAAAGCCATCCGTTCCAAGAACTGGTGTGCAGTCAACCCACAGTAAGTGGTGCTGGTCCCCACTCTCCTTGCCCTCTGTCTGCAGCGCATTGGGCCAGACTTGCTCATTCCCGGCACGTAGCAGAAAGTGCAGTGCCAGGAGACGCAAAAAAACAAACACTGGGTGAAATGGAAATGTCGCCAAAGAATGTATAGAACTATGCAAATGGAAAACTTCCAAGCTGATAAACCTGTGCTAAGCAGTGTAAGTGCAGCCACAAATCACGCCCTGCTAATTGCTCTAGTGCCAGGCAAGTGGGGGAAACTCAGCAAAGTGTGTCCCAGGGCCAACTAAATGGTGGCTTGTAATTGAAATGACAAAGTCAGTCTTCCTATTACGGCCCAGGCAAGGAAATTAATCCATCCCACCTAAACACACTGAAAATTGTCACGATGGCTTTCTTTTAATAATTGTAGGGTTTGGTATCTAAGGGTCTTTAAATGAAGTCTCATGCAAAAGCCTGGTGTGAAACACAGTAGGAGAGCCGGAGGTGGCTGGGCTGCGTGGGATGGGGCCAATCTCTGCCTTCTTGATTCTCTCTCAACCCTAGTTCAAAACCACTGCGTTCCCTTAGTCTCTGTATCACAGCAACAGCGCCTCCCACCTTGGGAAGATCTGAAGTTACAATGACAGACAGCCTTCCGGCACAGAGGCATCAGGTGAAAGGTGGACCTTCCTTCTTTTTCTTTCAACCCTTCTGATGATGCAAGCAGAAAAATCTCCCCCTGGTGCCAGCAGGTCTTCAGTGCCTCTTCTAGGTCATGGGAAATCCTTTCTTTTAGACACACAGGGAAGTGTTTAGGTCAGAACAGGCAAAAGATAAACACCGTCTAGTCAGAACTTAATGGTCCTGTTTTGTTTTCACGGTGCTTATTTTTAAAGTTAGTTATATTTATGGCAAATGTGCAGGAAGAAGATCCAGGACTTGGAAATAAAGCCAAATGGGCACTGTATGACATTTGAATAGAATGTTTCTGGTTCCACTAAATTGCAGGTCCTCTCAGGAGGTGTAGCTTTGAGTTACCACCCACGGCTGGTCAGAAACCCAAAATTTTATATTCTTGTAGAAGTAGAAAGTTCTACAGGGGTGGAAGAGGTTAACTTGTAAGAAAAATAACCTTTGATGTCTGTTTACTGGTTTTCCCTGTCAGGTTTACCTGTCTGAGACCTAGTGATAATTTAACACAAGCACCCCTTCTCCTACAAAAAGAACAAAACTATGAAATGCTGCTAACCAGCTCAGGGTCTGCTTGTCCTGTGTTCTAGCTTACCAGTTAAATAAAATGTTGACGTGTGAAAGTACCTAAATACATACAATGGTGTTTTTAACAATCTGAAAACTGTACTTTCATGCAAGTAATGCTGTCTACTTACAGTAGGGATAAAATTTTGTTAATTTTTTTGAGGTACCGGGGTTTGAATTCAGGACTTTGTGCTTGCCCTGGAGGCGTTCTATCACTTGAGTCAAATCCCCAGCCCTTTTTGCGTTAGTTATTTTGGGAATAGGATCTCACATTTTTTGCCCTGGCTAGGCCAGCCTGGGCTACCATCCTCCTATTTAGGCTTCCCATGGAGCTGGGATGACAGGTGCATGCAATCCAGCTATTGGTTGAGATGGGGTCTTGCTAACTATTTGCCCTGGTTGCCCTCCAACAGCAATCCTTCTGATCTTCATCTCCCAAACTGCTGGGATTACAGGTGAGTGAACCTGTCCAAATATTGTTAACTTTTATGAAAGTTATAAGTTTATATATATATAAGGTTCATTTAAAACCAAAACAAAAAAAAAAACCCCAAATAACAACAACAACAAAAAAACCTCAGAAGTACCAACAGTTTTCTCCAGAGAAAAGAGATGCTTCTCTTTAATTTTAATCATGATAGTTATTTTAGCATTTATGACCATGTCACCAATATTCTTACCTTACTCCATTTAAAACTAATTTTTCACTTAGTCACAGTATTTATTCGCTGTCTAGCTTTAATAAAAGACAAGAATTTCACTTTCTTCCCCACACCCTCATCAGATACGAGGTCCTCCCATTTCTCCTCCCTCTCAGACAGTTGTAGTTTAATTTGGTTTGATCAATATTTAGCATTTAAAGAATTGTCACTATCTTTTTCCGCAATTCCCGATTGCCTCTTATATGTTTTGTAGGTCTTTCTGGCTACTTCCTTCTAAGAGGGAAGTAACCTGCCCAGCACTTTTCTTCTGTATTCTGGACTCGTCTTCCCTGTGGGAGTCTTCCTTCCTTCTTCCAGCCATGGTATTTGTTCTCACGACAGTGTGGGTGAAGCCAAATTTCCCTACCGGGTACCCGGGCTGGGACGGGGAGCTAAAGAGACTCCAAAGTTTCTTTCTTCTCAGTCTAACTGATCCCACAGACAGGAATTCTCAGCCTGGACCCAGCCTGGAGGGTTAAATCCCAGCCTCCTGCATTCTAGGGGCCCAGAGGGAGGAAAGCCACTGGAGTTTCAGCCTACAGGAGGAACACCTGCTTCTGAGTCGCACCC